ATATATATATATATATATATATATATATATATAGAGTTAATTTTCTTTTAATTTTTGTTGAAACGACACATAATAATACCATGCAACCCGGTATACTTTTCAGCATCTGTAGTGAACCTAGAGTAAATGTTCATTATAGACAAATAACGGGCAAAAACAATGAAATATAGTAAATCACATATGTTCAATCAGACAAAATTAGAAAAATTTTCTCGTCTTATTCTCTGTTTTGGAATCCAAATGATGATCGAAAAATAAAAAAAAAGTTAAAAACATCAACATAGAGTGTCGTGACAAGAATTATCCAAATACTTTGGATAAAGAGAGTCATGATGTCGTGCATAATCATTATCAGGATTGTTTTGTGGAATTGGAATGTAATCCTAATAAGGTTTGAGATAAAATATTATAAATGCTCAAGTTACCATTGATGCTATGTAGTTTCCTTCCATTAGTGGTGCACTATAGAGGTCAGGATAGTACTGCGTACTTTCAATTGTTTCACAGCGTACAGTAACATCTGCTTGATCTTGGTCATCTAAGAAAACGGTATTTGAGATAATCTTACGAAAACATACCAAAGAACTTGTGATTACTTCCTCTCAGTTTTTTCTTGTTTCTGCAAGTTGTGTAACAGCATATCAGGAGGAGCACAAGACTTGAAACTAGGAAGACTGCTACTATCTTGTCTATGCCTGCTACTGCAAAGGAAATTGATGAGTGCAGAGAAAATGAGCTCAGAGTTTATACTTATGATGTCTATGAAATTCTGTTTTCGAACTAAAGCTGCTTTTCTATCGCTTCCTAGCCCATTGTTTGCTGAACAGTTGTAAGTTCCATAATCAGATTCTTGGAAGTTAGTTATAGTTAAACGACTCTCAATACCATATGGTCGTGGAACTTGATGAACCTACAATATAATGTTTCAGAGTTTACTTTATACATCATATTATCAGCACCTGCATACGTCCGCTTGCAAAGACAATGTCTTTTCCATTTTTTGACCATTTTATTTCTGCTGGCAGCGGTCTACCAGTTATTTTACAAAGGAGGTTTACGTTTTCCGACTTTTTAGCTAATACTTCAGATGATAAAGACATAATGGGAGGGCCTTGAATAACTATCAGTATTGCAACTCAAAAGAATGTTAAATACCTCTTAAAAATAAAGAATTGGTCTTTGTAGCTGGTTTGAAGCCTTCAACCTTAGCTGTACATACATAATCTCCTTGTTGCCACATTTTCACTTTTTCGAAAACAAGACTAGAAAAGCACCATTTTATAGTTGACTTTCAATACTTACATGTCTCCTTTCCCAATGATTTCATCACTCCCAGACTTCGTCCATTGAATAACGGGCTGAGGATTACCAGTTGCTTCGCATCGAAAAGACACAGCCTCTCCTTCATTAGCTTCTTTTGTTTGAGCAGTTGTTACTATTCGTGGAGCGACTGAATTCAAAACTCATAAACAAGATGAATAGGATTGTAACTGACAGGAAACGTTGAGACGTAATGTGCTTTTAGACGTTCCGATAGTGTTTGAAGCTTGACAAGCATATTCGGCGTTATGATCTTCCATGCGTAATGTTTCAATCACCATAGTCTGAAGATGAAAAAAAAATTTGTGAAAAAATGAAAGGACTTCATACATCTGTCGTTATATCAATTTGTTCAGAGTTTCGAAACCACTGGACTTTTAAGTCTTCCAAGGGTTTAGCGTCAATGTTACATGCCAGTAAAGCGGCTTCCCCTTCTTTCAGGATCGAGGTCGAAGCAACTGTTATGTTTACTTGTGGCAAATAATCGAGAGACATTCGTACGCTATCAACTTCTACCTAAAATGAAGAATTATTTTTGAAAAATTATGCAATTTCACCCGTCGTCCGAATGTTTCATGCTGTGAGATACAAACAAGATATCTTTGATCATCACTTGGCCTAGCATAGAAACTGAAACAAAATGTGATTTGAGGACATAAAAGTAAGAATCTTACGAAATATTGCTAATTACGCTATATGTTAGATTATCTCGTTGAATATCCTCGGAAGTGTCAGATTTTAAAGAGATTTGAGAAAGGCCCAAGTGAGCTAGAAGGATGTAGATGAGACAACAACTCAACTTATAAAATACCATAAAGGTTACCAAATTTAGAACGTGTCTCTCCTAACCAAGCAACAATGTTCTTTCCTTGAGCGTCTGAAGCAATAGCCCAGCCAACACGAGCAGGTGGTATTCCTATAATTTTTGATGAGCTGTCACTTTGTTTTCCTTACCTTTGCGTACAATGCAAGCTTGACTGATTGGCTCTCCAGCAATGGCAGATAGAACGTTCCTATTTGACATTTTCGACAAATGTGGAGATGAAGGACGCACTAAATTCATTATGATTTAATTTTATTATATGAAAGTAGAATCTTACTTAGAACTGACAGTTTAGCTGGTTTTGATACAACAGCCGGCTGGTTGGCAGCTTCCGATATTTGACATGCATACACATCATCATCAGCTATGGTAGCATTAATAATCTGAAGAATATTTGATGTAATGTATTCTATAATTGAGTTAGAACCTGTAAATTGAATTCGCCTTCAGCTTCATCTCCTATCATAAAGTAGCGAGGGAAGTATTTGAGCTCTCTAGAAGTTCCTAATCCAAATCCATTCTTTGTCCACTGCACAACTCCCTCCTAATCACATTATAAATCTTGATGTTCTAGGAAAGATTAACTCACTTGATATTGAACAATACATTTTAAAACAACTGTTTTACCAACTATTATAGTTGTATCTCTGGGCCCTTCGACAATATTTTGAATTGAATGTACACAATGAATAGTCAACAATAATAAAACATAATTGAGCATCTGAAACAGCATAGTAGTAAATGAAGAAACAGAAGTAAGAAGTTCCAAAACATATATTCAATGAAACAAATGATCACTTAACTATGTAATTCAAAAAACATAGACAAATAGGAAATTGACTTATTTTCAATGTGTCAACAAGAGAATGTGCTTCAAGAGATTGAAAATTAACTGAAATTTCGAAAGTCAAAACAATTTCAGTATCTCACTCGCACTTGACTTTAAAAGTCTTTGCGTTTCCTTTGCATCTCCTCAAGCGCTCAATTTTATTTCTCGCAATCCTTCCTTTCTTATAAATGGTCCCAAGAGTAAAAAGGAGAGAAGGATAGAGAGAGGATAGAGTGCGAAAAGAAAATGCTGAATATTCTACTTGCTCAAAATTTTAGCATAAATAGTGTGAATAGTAAAGAGTCTAGTGAGATGTCTAGTGAACAAGGAACAAAATGTTCATAAAACATTAATTTAACTATATATATATATATATACATAACAACATATTTCTCGACAAAATAAGTCAACTCAAATTCAATTGGAATATACATCTAATAGAGTAAAGTATCCAATATCTATTGAGCATATCTCAACTCGTAGCACCAGTTGTAAAGAATTACAGCGTCTTCAATGAAGAAATATTAAAGAAGTAGGTCAATGTAGAGGTGAGAGCAAAAAAAATTGTTTTTTTGAAACAAGACGGCGGTTGCGTTGGAAGGGGGGGGGGGAGAAAAAGCTCTATCATCTAGCACACAACCTATAGTATAGAATGTGGGGTGAGGATTTGAAAGAAAAAAAGAGACAAGAATGTCGAGAAAGAATTAAAAATTTGGTCTTTGCCATGACAGCTGTTTTATGAGAGATGTCAATTAGTATTTGAAAGAAAGCGGGAAAATTCATATAGCTCTCTAATGATTAGACTATAATGATCATGTTCTTATTGGTTGGCTAGTAGTTTGGGCGGGAAAGAAAAAAGTAAAGTTAGTTCTAAAAATATATTTGTTTATTGCCTTTTTTGGGTGAAATATTGATTAGAATAGAGCTTATTTAATCATATGACCCAGTAAACTGATCATAAAGGCAATCTGCTTGTTACACACTAATCTCTCGAGACAAAACAGTTGTTCAAAGTGTTATTGATCACTATTCTCTTCTTCTTTGTTATTTCGTTCGAGTCTTATATGAAGAATTGAATTATTCAACAAGGATAAATATGCTAATTTGACATATTATATTGATTAAGCTGTATATTTATACTAAAAATCAAACCGAACACAAAAACCGAGCAATATAGAAACATAGGCATAGAAGAGAGATATAAGCATTCTAAGATTATATGAATATGAGAATATGAAATAGGTCTAGACTGTTTCATCTGTTTAAGTATTTAGAAATTGCGAACTGTTCTTTAATTCTTCTTTTTTTTTCTTTTTTTTTCAATCAAATTTGCTTTTTTGTTTTTTGACCTCAGATTTATAATTTGATTTTAGTTTTTTTCTGTTCTTAGCATTGATTTTCAAAAATGAAATGATTATTTTGAAAAAGGATGATGAAAAAGACAAAATCAAATTCTACGATACAATGAAGGAAGCTTTCTAATGTGTCGTTCATTTTTTATATTAATGATGTTGAATGGCCAATTGTGGTAATGGAGCTTCTACGGTCAAGACTCCATCAGTAGAAAGAGTCGAAGAAATGTGCTCTGGGTTAGTACCACGAGGAAGAAGGAACTCCTGTAAGAAATAATAACTTATGTTAATATATTGAAAATGATGAATATACTTGATTGTACTCTCTGAAGACGGTGCGTTGAGCAGACTTCTCTTCATGCTTAGCATGAACTAACAAACGGTTATCAATAGTCTTGACTGTCACTTCTTCTGGCTTGTATTGAGCAACATCAAATCTGAAACATTATTATTCAAATTTATTGTTGAGGAATGAGTAAACGTGCCTCAAGCGCAAAGTTTTGCCGTCACTCTCGTCTTTGATAAGTGGACTTTTGAGATTGTCGAGATAAGGATCATATGATGGGCGAGTTGCCATTAAGCTTTGAGAAGGCCCTAAGATAGAAGAATTTTTATTCAAATTCTCAAACAACTTTTTTGTTTGAATTATAAGCTCATGTTTGCCAAATAAATCGGGCAATGTCAACAGTAGTTGTTTAGAACGAGGATTATTCTGAATTTTTTGGCATTTCAGAGGAAAATTGCAAATACAAGAGCAAACATCGTTTCAAGCTCTACTATTTCAAAAGATGTGACATTGGTAGATGTGAACCGAGCAAAAAAAAATGAAAGAAAAATAAAATAAGGAAAGGAACATGTTTTTGACTTCACAAATTAAAACATTTCCCGCCCCAGTGTCAGAACGTACTTATGTTGTTGCGTTCATGTAACTTTGACAAAAACTTAAAGACTAACATTGGTAAAAATCGATTTCTTTTTTGTTGCCCCCGAAGTGTTTTTAGAATGTGGCCCTAACATTTTTTTTTGTTAAAGTTCTTTAATCTCACCACGTTGAGAAGAGAATGGAGGAGGAGAAAAGCTGCTTCCGTGACGACGGCTTTCAGAATGTTCGGATACTGGAGCATAGGAAGTTCCGTTTCCAATGGCATGTTGATTGTGTGGACGATAACCTAGATTATTGAATGAATCAGATTATATAATGATATGTCTCGGCTGTTTACCTTCAAATTCAGATCGAAGACGTCTCATCTCATCTTCAACACGTCTCATTTCTTGATCAAAACGATCACGCATGTTTCCAAATTCATCATCAATAACGGAACGATTGGATTTGTTGATGTCAATACGACGCTCTGACATGCTTTCTTAAAATAATAAAATATATGTTAGTTAGATGTGCTACACAACATCACGAATGCGATAAAGAGAATGGAGTTGTTGAAGCTGATAGAGATAATATCAGAATATCATTTTTATTGTTTAAAATGATTCGAGAACACAATGATTACATTCGTATATTAAAAAGTTTTCTTTTCCTTTTTCTATTGATATTATTATTCTCTCAGATTCGTCATATACAACACGAGAAAATATATGTTTAGATCAAGGACATGTGAATTGAAAATCAGGAGAGAATGACCTTCACAAACATTTTAGTTCAACATGTATGCAAAGTGATTTATAACCATAAGCAAAGCTTTTAAGCTAAAAATATGTCATTCACATCTACATACATATCGTTTGATACGTATAGATGTAGAAGAGATGCCTGAATGATATGTTTGAAATCAAAATGGTTGGTAATTCCAGCCATCTCACTATATTCATATGCATCATAATCGTGAGAAGAGAAATAATAGAGAGATAGATAGAGAGAGAAATAGAAATGGAAATAAAGAGAGAAGAAAAAAAAAGAAGAAAAAAAAGAAATAAATCGAATAGCATAGAGCTCATTTTGAGAAATACAACAAGAGATTACATTTTTGAGAAATGTTCAAGAGGTGGTAAGAAATGAATGCACAGCCAGACAAACAATAAGAAATGACAGAGGTGTAGATAAGAACGTTCGCGAGAGGAGAAGATAAAATGAATTAAGAACAAAACTAAATAGCATTTGTGTTGCATAGCGTCCAGATCATGGGAGAGAAATGAAAAGTTGTGATGCAAATTCAATCAATATCTCTCATTCTTTCTCTCATTTTTACACAAAGATTGCTGCTTTCGAAATCGACAAATAACCATCAGCCTACGCAAGTATCGGATTGTTTAAAACCTTTAACAGCTGCTGCATCATCATTTCGCATCTTCTATGAGTGTGTGTGTATGTGTGTCTGTTTGTTTTTTGTGTTATCTTAATGTGTTTTAATATATAAAAAACATTAAAATATATATAAATATAGATGAGAAAGAATGTTAAGATGGCATATGTTGAAGATGATTCAAATGAATGAGAACAGTTGAAGAGATAGATTATGTTTTACTTTAAAGATTCATCTTGGCTTAACCCTTATAAAGGGCAATATCACAATAGCAATTGAGGAGTTGAACAGAATATTGCAATTAAACAAATAGATATAAAGATGGTGAATAAGACTAAACAGAAACGATCAAGCACAAGAGCCGCATACTTCCAATCCTCCTGTAATACAACAATTGCGTTTTGAAAGAAATAAAAAAAACACATCAGAAAAAGAAGAAGATGAAAGGAATAGAGAGAAAGAAAGAAAGAGAGATAGAGAGAGAGAGAGAAAAGATGGAAAAAAGAATTTTCTAGTTGTTCGGCAGAAGTTTTTATGAAAAGCAGTTGATCAAAACTGTTACCTGACGCATTTTCAAATTTCTTTTCTCTTCAAAACTAGTTCTTATTTGACGCAAACGCATCAAAATCTGTTGGTAATAGGAAACGACGCGTAAAACATACTCACTGTGATTTGTCTCTGAAAATGTATTATAGAATAGAAGAGAAACGACTAATCTGTAGAAAGAAAGAAAAAAGAAAGATAAAAGTTTGTTCTACTTAGTTGAGAATATTCTTTTGTGAATTTTGTGACATATTTTTCAATCTGTTTCATCCGTTTGTTCGAGCGTAAGCCATTCGTCTTTCTTCCATTCAATTTATTTTTGAATATTCCCGTGCCAACCTTACGATTCAATTGCAAATTTTCTGTTGGAATGCTAAAGTAGTTTCATTTTACAACAATGAGATGGCTGTTGACAAACCTATCCAACTTCTTCAGCAGGGGGTTCATGGATGTCAGTCCTGTAGTGGTTGTTTCAAAACTTGTTTCTTGCATCGTCTCCATTGATCCTGCATACTGAATATACATTATACAGTTATTTAGAACTTTACATTAATCAGCTCATACTTCGAGTGAATCAATTGAACTCAATGATTCTGTTTTGACTGCGGCCTTTCTTCGCTTGTAACGTGTTCCAGGACGTTTCATCATCAAAAACCATGGAATCCACTCCAAGAATACTTTATGAAACTATAATCCTCTTTGTTCTTCTATGCTCATATTAGATAACAGACTGTTGGAGACATTTTAGTGTTAGTCGTCTGTCGATAACGGAGGTTCAGAACCGTTATGGTAAAAGCTGTTGATAACGATATCAGCAAAGTCAATGTTGAAAAAAACATTCCTAAAACATCATTGATGGAAGAAATATTTGGAAAATGAGGATAAAGTTGAGATGTTCGGGATTACCTAGAAGAGGAACAGCTTCAGAAGTTGGTGGAGTTGTTTCACTGACAATGGTAACAAAAAAACAAATAGATAATAGTATAGTGGTTTCTAAACAGATTATATCATGTTGTATAGAAGTGGATAAGAAGAAGACATACGATAACCAATCTTCTCACTCATATCATGTGCAGGCAAACAGAAGCCCATTAATGTCATTGTGGATACTAATAGTGATGGAAGAACTATGTTGAAAAGATAAAAAATTGTTCGACGTCTTAAGTAATAAATATATATATATATATATCTATATCATATAAATATATATAATTAAGATATATTCACCTCAGTATCATATAGAAAGTAACTGTAGAGTATGGTTCAGGGCAGCAGGCAGTGTACGTTACTTCGCGCTCACCCGGTGCACTTATCAGATCCCATTCTCCACTTGGAGTATATGTTGATAAATCCATACCAGTCATCTTATTCTCAACATCTTGACTAATATGTAGATCCAATGCATTCCCATGATATGTCCAGCTACCAAACTATAGAAGAAATATTTGTTGAACAGCCTGTCACTATGTTCAATACATATTAACTCATTCAATATATGCCCTAAAGAGTGTTAAAGTTCAAAGAACAACATTACGTCACTGGCTCGCAGCTAATTGTAAACAAATTAGCAGTTTTGGCGCTATTAACTTATTTGAAAGTTGGCAACGTGCCAGAGCATCATATTATCATCATCATCATATTACCCCCCCCCCCCTTCCCCATTTACTCAAAGTTATCATCATCATTATATTTCACGCCCACTCATTCATTCAATTCTTTTTCATTTTTGTTCATAACTATTACCTTCAAATAGCATGTCTGTCTATCAAAAGGAAAATATGTGATATCCATCTTGCAACTTGCTCGAAAGATCCCAGGTGGCACCCAGTTTATTTCACCAGTATTGTAAACAACTTCGTTTGATTTAAAAGTTGAATCAAATTCTTCGCTGGCACTGAATGCTTATTACCAGTTAATGAACGTAAAGGAAGCTTTCTCAACCTGTTATACAATAGAATGTCAGGTCTCCAAATTTGATTTTCTCCTCCAGCAAAGCGGATGCTTGTTATTCCTTCATACCTATTGGGATCCCAAGTCATTCGGTAATCCATCCATATCTATAATGATGAAAATTATTTTATTGAAACAATCCATTATCTCCTACAAATTTCAACCAAGCATTCAATTCAATAATTTGATTCTTTCCATCCTAAACATTTTAAAATTATTCTTTATATTAATAATGATTGAATGAACCAATCCCATAATTTGTTGTAAGAAGACTTTCATTTCGACATTAAGAGCATGAGATGCATTACGTACTGGTCTTACTAACTTACTATAATTGCTTAATATATCTCTAAAAAATAATTATGCATAACTAACTATATGGTATAGTAATCACCTGTACAGCTGATTTTCAGCTTTACTCAAATATGCTATTGGTATTAATGAAATGAATAAGAAAATTATAATTTTTTTCATATCTGCATAGTGATGTTACAGATACTATGATATATATATATATATATTGAAATAGATTTTACAAATCCACTTGATCTATGTTTACATTAATTTGTCTCATCAATATAATATATGTTCAACTATCTTCATCTATTCATCACTATATTTACCGTATTCAATAAGAATTTTTCTATTTAATTAGTGACATTAACCCCCCTTCTTCAGATTCTCAACCTTCTCCCTCCCTTCTTCCCTCCCCTCCACTTTCCATTACCACTTCCACGCCGACTCCGTTCAAGTTGTTTCGCAAAAATAATTTTTTCATTTTCATTTAATGAAAAATGAAATAGTTGTTATGATGAAAAGAAGCTTATATCCTCATATAATCACACAATTTCTATAGATTAAGCTTCCTCAAACATATTTGTAAACGGAAATTGAAAAAGAGGAAGAGGGGGAAGGAGAAAAAGAATAAAATTGAAGAATGTAGTATCGCATACATCATAACCATATATAGATAGGAAATCCTACAGAATTATCTTTAACCAATTTGCATATTGAAATCAAAGCAATTATTGGAATAAGCTAGCTATATCACCTTACATATAAGGATGCTCTCATGCTGCTAGTAACCAGCTTACCCAAAAGATACTCAAGAGAACCATTTTTATTTTCAATTTGTGAAATGTAATACCTGGCATTTATTTTTATAGTCAATCAACATATCCCATTGCTATATGTATCAATTACAATTTGATATTTGAACACTTCTAAATAGAAGAAAGAAGTATGAATGCATTAAACCATTTTGCATATCTTTATCCTAAAATGGAAATTATTAACTTTCATTTCTTAATAAACAGACTATCACGACAGATAGAGTTTGATGACAACAGACAACAACAACATATCAATCTTACATAGACGTATCTATGCGCGAAGCCCTTGTATATCTTTCATTTCCTTCATACTAATTTCATCTAGTTCTTCTTTCTATTTCATTTTTCTTTTTTTTTTACAAAACTTTTGAAAATTAAAATTCTTTTACAACTGTCAGTTATTTGATGTGTTCAATTAAGGTTAAGTAACTAAGCTTCAAAAGAGCTTTTATGAGGCTATTCTAACTTCAAAGTTGAGATCATGTAAAGTGTTCATTCACTATCTCTCTCATATTAAATTGCATTCTATTTTTTATATTTTTTATATTATTTTGTTACTCAAACACATTATTCTAAACATAATATGTTATTGTTCTCAACTGATACATGTTTATTACGATAGATATCATGTCGTTGTTTGAATATCTAAATGTTCTATCGTGGGAAAGAAAAAACTTTTTTTTTTCTTTTTTATTTCTTTTTTTTCTTTTGGTGACAGGAAAACACGTCATTTGTATTACATGTACATAGCCATCATCATATTCTACTTATTTCTTATATGAATCATTTTCTTTAATCTAAGAATCACATAATCACATTTCAACTCAATTAATTATACTATTAGTTAGGTAGCGTATATGCTTGTGTATGTGTTTATATGTGCATGGTCTATTGTAATAGTTAATATGAAATGGAATAATTCATTGTTTCATTTGATATCTTGCTATGCTCAATCTGAGCAAAACTTTTCGTTTTCATCTTTTTCTTTTCTTTTTTTTTCATTCAAAACATTGAATTGTGAGCAGCCGCTTGCTGATTATGCAGTGTTTACAGTCATCAATCGTTTATCTAATCTCTTGAGTTTTATCCGTTTTTGTCGGTGAACAAGGAAATGAGAAAGATGAACAAGATGACGAATAGAATGAAGAAGAAGATGAAGAATGAAAAAAAGGAAAAGAAATCGTATAAATGAAGAAAAGTAAAAGGGAAACATGCAATCGTCATAACGCTTCCTGCGTCTGATGAAATTTCCTTTAGTCTGAAAATAATGGCCAAGCGACCTCTTGCACACAAAAGTTAAATTCGCCTTATTCATGCCGTCCTTATACACTTTGAATAGCACGCATGTTGCCATGTATGTTCTCAGAACACTTCTTCTTGAATGAAAAATATGAAATTTTGAATAACACATCGTAACTCTTTCCTTCTTTTGTTCTTATAAACTTTTTTGTTAGAAATCTATATATTCTTCTAGCAATAGATTAATATATAAATGAAGCAATAATTGTCTGTGATTGAAAACATTGTGTGAGCTAAGGAATGAAAAGAAGATGAAGGGAAAGAAAGGAGAAGATGAGGGGTAGGGAGGTTAGCAGAGAGTAGAAGTTTTAAAAACTTTTTAAATTATTCAAAAAGCTTCTTCTTCTTTTTTCCATTTTCGAACCCTCTTGAGAATAGCCCATTGTGTTTTTCTTTTCAATTTAAAAGAAAAAAAACCTTTAAATGTTCTCCGTATCCTATTGTGTCAGAAAACTTTCAGTATTTTAAGACGTTTACATTGCTGTCCACCTCTCTCTGGCTCCAACCAACCAACCAACCAATCACCCCCCTTCACTCCTTTTTAGGATATTTTTGCTTTGCTTGTTGTATATTGTACTCAGTTCATATTTAGCTATTTTGCTTTCATTTCATTTTTAGTCTCAAAGCAATTGCAGTCACGTGTCGTTGAAGGTGGTTGGATGTATGTATGTTTTATACGAAAATAATTTGTAAATCATCAAATGTGTTGCTGTTGCACAGTTTTACATAGACATCAAATTCATCTTATTAGGTAATTTTTCAATTAATCATATTTTAAACTCGAATGATTGATATATGGGTATTATGGTTGATTGACAGCATTTCTATCAAGCTACATTCGAGTATTGATAAGATAGACTGATCATTGAAATGCCCAAAAGCTTTTTATGAAAATGAGATTGCTCAAAAGATATTATAAAATTCAAGTAGAAAAAAAAAGTAATTTTTTCGTTTATCTAATACATTCTTATTTTTATTTTCAAAATACTTTTTTCAACTTTTTTTTTGAATGAAAGAGCAGAAATGTGGAGAACAGAAAGGAGAGAGAATAGACAATTGAAAAACGACAATGCTCTTTCAGTTACGGATGTGTTTCACTGGGACTCATTACAACAGGCCTGGTTTTCACTATTTTTGCAATATTTCAAAAAGAATCTCAAATAGGAAAGGTATTAAACAAGTATAGCTATCTATGAGATATTGACTATCAAGGTATGGCTGGCAGGACCAACAACGATGGTTGTCGGATTAGTTTTGTGTGGAAAGGTAGTTATTCATATTATATAATCTAATTATTAATATTAGGTTATAATCGATTGGGGACCAGCAATGATGCATGCAAGAGAAGGCTCTATAGATTCAATCCATTTATATCCAAATGACGTATGACTACAGAATTAATGATAAAAATTGTTCAATCAATTGCTTATAGAGAACCCGTCAAACTACAGATGATTTACCATTATCTGGAGTATTGATAGAGCAAGAATCATTGCACAGTACGCATGATTATAAGAACACAGATTCATTATCTTGGAAAGGAGATTCTCGTTCATCAAATGCATTTCAACCGTATCAACAAGGCTTCATTGGCAAATCATATAACAAGACACCTTACCATCAAACAAACACATCATCAAATATATACAAAAATTCTGAGAGAAATTCTTGTGAATCGCATTGTAAATATCAGAAATCTGATCTTAAACCCATGAATGGACATAATCATTCAGCCAGCATACCAAATGCATCAACATCTCTCATATACGCAGATAATTTTCTTATGACCTCTAATAATGTAATATTATATACTCATATAGTTATATTAATCATTCTCTTCTCTTATAGGATCAAATCAATAGAAATTCAACTCATCCAAAGAATATGTATAATAGTGAAAGTAATATGACTGCTGCCGCTAATTCGGTTAGTTATCTCTTTCATTATTCATCTCATCATTGTTTTCTTTTAAGAAATGTGAATGCGGTCACTATGGCAGCACTTGGAAGAATGCCAATGCTTTTCAAGGCGAATCATTCGTATTCAATGAAAGAAACTATTTTATATGATTTTATTAAATTTATTATAATAATTTTATAATTGATTATTGTATAAGCTATCATGTCACATGCTTCTTACTTTCTTTTTTTTTTCATTTTCTTCATTCAATTAATAATATTAATTGAAATTTATAATCTGTGACTCTGCAATATATATATCAGCTATTCTTAAGACAGCTTAGAATTTGTTATCAATAAATCATATTTCATTCAAAGTTTTTTTGATAAGACAATAATCATTGTTAAGATGATGTTGTTTCATCTGACATTCTTACTTTTTGTTTCGGTAAGTATTATATATCATTATTATAATTAATGTATTAATAAAGCTATCTGCCATTCATGGCAAGTATGTTGAACCACCTACTGGTGAATACGCTCCACATTGTCTAATTGGAGATCCAAATGCCAAAAATGTTTATCATGAAGCTGATTCTTACCAGGCATGTCATTTTGCAACATTACGGAAATGACGTTTATGATTATTTTAAGGTTCCGTGGTTCAACGTTGATTTGGACGCACCAGCCAAAGAGAGATTTAAACATGTTGTTCGTCCGTTCAAAAATGAGATTCAAGCAGTTTTCGATGTCTTAGCTGTGAGTTTTTAACATTTTGAATATACTTCATTCATTCATGGAGTAAATGCATTCAGTAACTGACAGAATGTTTTTGAAAGATGATAAGACTTAAGCTGGGGCGTTGTTGCTCAAAGAAAGTCTTTGATAGTATATTACCTAATCAGCAGCAACCACGTTGTATTTTTTGATCTCAAATTGTAAAACATATCAGGATTTCTTGACAATCATTCCTGACATTCCTGTATGGGAAATCGTGGGCAACTTTATGCAGAAGATGTTTGATGAAGGACGAATTATGCAGCCGTACCGTGATGAAATTCAAGTAACATCATTTTGGTGCAAAATGTTAAAAAGAGTAACAATCATGTTATCTTAGGGAATCGCTGACGAATTACAATGTAATCTTGGACAATTAGCTTTCCTCAATATCTTTTATGAATTATCTCGCTTCTGCACATCAATCATTGCTCAAACTCCTGGAAATAAAGAACTTTACCATGCTCGGTATGATATTTCAGAATAATTATATGAACTATCTATGAGTATTATAGTAATCTTGACTTTGGACAACTCTTCATGTGGAACATTACTAGTCAATCATGGGGTTTATCTGATTCATTGAAGAAA